CTGAACGAGATTGGCTGAGTGAACCCGAATAAGACAAACGCTCATTCTGTTGGAAGTTTGAAGCCAAGATGGCGGATCATGAAGCCTTTCTTGTAGGTATGATCAAGGCCTCAGGCGCGTAAATTTCGCCTAGGTAAGATGGCGGCAATTTTTATTTTTCCTTTGAAATTTTTGCGCCTGAGGCCTGGATCATACCTACAAGAAAGGCTTCATGATCCGCCATCTTGGCTTCACTCATTAATGAGGGAAAGTTAAGAGAGCCAGCGTTCCAGTCTTATTTCAGTTCACTGGAGTGAACTGAGTGCGCACAATCACATTAGGGGGCTGGGATGGTGGGCTGTGATGCCCCAGATTTTTTAAAATTAGCCTAAAAAGTCATTTCGAAAATCATTAGTGGCGAAGAAAACCGGTCTGGAAACCCGTTTAGGGCGAAAGATATTGGTCCGGCTTAAATCCGAAAGAGATTGTTACTTTGTGCCGAGCTTTTGACTTAAATAATGCACTACCATTAATGAAACTTGTGGCTAAACATATAGACTAAAAATTATCTGGAAATATCAAATAGATATAAATTTGTAACAGTAACCCTTTGAACTATTTTTATTCCCTCAAAATAAAACAACTCTGAAGTCTGAAATGCTCATTTCCGCGGGACAATCTGAAAGAATCAAATTTCAAAAATTTTCTCCCTTTGTGCTGGCGTCCTGGAATCCTGAACATATTCTACGCCCCTGATATTCCAAATAATGGGACCATTCACTAAAACTTTAGTTTCATATCCAATACAAACACTACAAAAGTTGGTTCATGAACATTAGATAACCTCATATATCCATTCACACATGTATGGTGGAACTTAAAATGCCTATAAGCCCAACGGACCGGCTCATCCCCTCAACGGTACAAAGTGCTTCAATAAAAAAAAGAAATTATAGCCCCGTTTACACTACACTTGATTTATTGGCACAGCACGGCTAAAATGGGTATGGGGCTTATCTTATGTTTTGAAGCAATAAAAATATATTCGGTTTTTACAATTAAACTGAAAGCCATTTTTAAACGTTTCCATTGACTATTGGAGTCAATATCCGCTTTCGTGTTCTGCTTCATTCAACGTTTCACCACTGCATGCCGCGGTTAAAGGTAGGTTACAGTCGCTTCTGTGCATGTGGGAAGTGTGCTCACACTTTGTTTTGATTCTTGCAATTTCAAAACATTGTGCAATATTTATTGTTCACAATTCAGGCAAGATGGCCGACTCACTGGGTGAAAAATTTTATTGTTCCTAACGCTTACTAATTTTTTCATCAAAAGAAGCGATACAGTCATTGAATCAATTTCATATCTAAAATAGATGCGTCTGAAGTGTATTTTCGTGAATATGGCTTTGAGCAAATGTTTTAAAATGAAGCATAAATAAAGATGCAACACGTCTGGGGTACGAATCCTTGATATTTATTACTGGCGCGCATTTTGACTCGAGTTTAAAACTATTTGTAATTTTTTACTGGGAAGAGCGAGTAAATAGTGGCAAGTATCGGTGTTATTGTTGGCACGCGTGGGATCAAGTTTTCATTTCCGGCACACAAAAAAATTCTATAATAACAATGCTTCGCAGGCTAGTCTGAATGTACGGAACAGTTCCAATAAGTCATGAAGAGTAAAGACGTATGTATCTTCCTTGATGGAACTAAATGTGAAGGTACAGTACTTGTGGATTGACGGTTTTTAACTACGTATTAAATTTTATCTAACACATCTGCAAGAAATCAGTTTATATAACAACCATATATGGGTCATATGGGATCACCACTCACCATAAACTAATGTAAATTAGTGATTGTTGAGTATCTGCCATATTTTTAAGGTAACATGCATTTTAAAATTTCAAATTTATATAGTGGAAAATAAATCAAAGTGACTATATGTGAAATTATTATTTTTCAACAAATCTTTTGATCACAATAATACTATATGTTTATTATATTTCTTTATTATATATTGGAATGAAACAAATAATTATAATTCTTCTTTAGGTCCAGTTTTTAAAGGCTATTGTTGGAAAAAATTAATAGAAAGATTGGTTTTACAGGTTACAACAGAAGCAAATTTCACAGCAAACATATCCTGAAGTCCTTCCACCTTTAATTAGAACTGATAAAACCCATCAGTTAAGTAGACTACAGACATGCAAGTGTGCATCATTTAGAAACTATGACTCTGAGTATGCGGAACTTATAAGCTCTGAAAGGTACTCCACTTAAAAGAGAAAGTAAATTTTACAATCCTAAACTAAACTATCCAAATTGTATTAGTACATTACTGTTGGTTCAGAGTTACCCAGACATATAATACCATCAAGCTTTAATTTTTAGTGTACCAAAAATTAACAAGTAATTTAAGACAAAAAAATCAATGCACTAATTGTTGTGTTTGAATACATTTATATTTGAATATCTGATATATGAATTTAATGGCTTGCTCCTTATGAAGTAAAATACTACCAGACTTAATCCCATTAACATGCTGAGGATTTTCATTAAAATTTATGATGGTAGCAAGCAAGGGAGGGTGTAATATATGTTTTAAGCATTGCACATTGAAATATATATAAGTAACAGGTGCCAATTACCCAAGTTTCTATCAAGTAAAATATCTAAGACAACCTCCCTTTAGTGGGGAGATCTAACTATCTGTAACACATGGTAAAGGTCCAGAATGTTTTAGGATTGCAACAGCCACATTTGCTACACTGGAACACTTTCTGGTATGGTTGATAGTTTTACCTGGGAATTCATTATTTGTCATCTTCACCAAATTCTATCTATAGCCCCTTCCTTGCAACATGATTGTCTTGCTCATCTCACAGGTTTTAATTAGAGCATGATTTTGAATCCTGCAATAACAATGTAGTATGAAGGTCAGGCAGATGTATTATATAAACTTCTAATTTCACTTGAAATGAGCTCACTATCATCCTTTATCCAAATTTAATAATCAAACAATCATAGTAAACATTACTTCATTTATATGCAGTTTTTCTGTTTCAAATTAAAACAAAATCTCTACAAACTTACCAGCTGGTCACTGCTGCTCTCCCATCTCCTTCGATGCATGTGTTTAGAAAAAACTACAGAAGATTTAGTTTGTAAACTGTAGAAATTTCGCTCTTTCTAAAACCAAAGGATGCAACAAAAACACCGATAAGTTTATGGGCTTCTTTTGAATGTTTCATTATAAACGATCACGCACAAAAAATGCTGAGGTGACCCAAGATATATCCTCGAATAGTAGTTTTTCAAAAGATGGAATTCCTTGCCATTTAAAAGACAATTTTTGAATCGTTTTATAAAGCTCCACTCCTGATGCATCCTCCATTTTAATTTAGTTTCATGTTGTGCAAATGAAATGGATTAGGACCAAAACAAAAAATGTAAGCAAAGCTCGCTCATGCGCAAAAGCGACTGTAACCTGGCTTTAAATTTTCATCAGCAAAAATTTTAGGAACAGGGACGTAACTGCAACGTTAATTGGGGGTCGATCATATATTCTGTTCTGCCCGACGCATACGTGTCTTCAAAAGAAATCCGTCGGGTGGAACAGAATATACGAATATCACACCTCGCCAAAAAAAATTAACGCCCTAGTTACGCTCTGCCCGCATTGTATTTTCAATACAATTTGGCAGATCGTTGATGTAAATTATAAACAGGATGGAGCCAAGTATACTTCCCTGGCACAAGAAGCACAATTTTATAGAGCCTTTTTACAAAATTTGTTTATCTTCCTTCGCAAGATATTGGCGACAAAAAAAAATCGGCTATCGCGATATATCCGCTATCTTGTTTTATAATGCAGAGGCGGCGCCACGGGGAGGACTGGGGGGGACATGTCCCCCCCAGTCCACCTCCAAATCAATTTTCTAATTCGCTCATAACCGATGAGAAATAAGGGGGGGGCAATGTTGTGGTTTTATTTATATATTAGCAATATTTTATACGAAACAAGAGACACAAGGTTGTGGCATTTTTAATTATATACCTTAACGACCTCTTGAACTTTAGAGCTGCTTCAGGCGTTTTTTTGCACAAGATAAAGCAATGATTGATTGAATCGTATATTATCCAAATTTAATAAGTTATTTTGCAATTAAGCATGTCGGAAATTGTTCTCCCGAAAGTGTTGATTTATGTAGGTCTCCTTGGCTAGCGCAACATATGCTTATTAGCTCGTCGGCACGCAAGTGAACAAGTTACGAAAGTATATAGAGAATAAATATGTTTGAAGGGAGAGATCCATCGAATGAAAATGTGTGTGAGGCAAATAGAGCCTTTATTCTTGAGTCTGGACCGGTGAGACCCGCCATAGACTTTCCACCATCGCCAATAGGGGGAAGAAACTTTAAGTTTCAGAAGAAATGGTACGAAGAATATTCTTGGCTAGAATATTCGGTCGCTAAAGATGCCGCTTTTGTTTTTCTTGTAGATGTTTTGGCCAACTTGGTAAGAATATACTTATATATACATATTTATATATATTTGTGATATTAAATAAAAGATTATTATGTTGATATATGTATACAGTATTAATACAGTATATAGTGTGATCCTCTCAATTATGCTATACGCGAATCACGCAAGTACCCGAATCACGCAAGTACCCGAATCACGCAACTGCGAATACTTAAGCACGATACTTATTTAAGCATGATATAACCAATTCTTACAGTCGGCAGTTCGGATGATGCGTTCACAAAGACTGGCTTCAGAAATTGGAAGAATGCTACCGGAGAAAAGGGAAAGCTAAGCAAACATGCTAACTCGCGGATGCATACGCTTTCAACAGAGCGCATTCATTCACTCAAATCAGCAACGCCAATCGACGTGCAATTGAACAGGGAAGCGGAAGCAGTAAGAGAAAGAAAGGAGCATTAGAGAAAAGAAAACCGAGAAATCGTTGAAACGATTTTCGACGTTGTTAGACATTTGGCTAAACAGAATATGTCCTTCCGTGGTCATGACGAGTCGTATGATTCAAAAAACAAAGGCAATTTCCTTGAAGAGCTTCAATTTCTTTCCAAGTACCACGCCCCCTTGAGGAAATGGATGGATACGCATCCCAAGAATGTCTTGTATTTTTCCCATGTGAGTCAAAATGAGATGATCAGTATTCTTAGCAACCTCATTACTGAAGTCATCTGTAATGAAGTCCGATCGGCAAAATATTTCTCCATCCAGTGTGATGAGGTTACCTCTCACAAAAAGGCCTTCATGTCCGTTATATTGCGATATGTAACAGATTTTAAGATAACTGAGAGGTGTATCAGGCTTGTGAGGGTGTCCAGCTTAAAGGGGCGTTCTTTAGCTGAGGTGATCGTAGACATTATGAAAGACCTCAGACTTTCATTAATAGATCTCATTGGTAAAGGCTTTGACGGTGCTGCAAATATGTCCGGCAAGGACGAGGGAGTGCAACGGCATTTGACGGAAGCTGGAGCTGAGTTTTCAATCTATTTTCATTGCTTTGCCCATAAGCTTAATCTTGTTCTTGAACAAAGTGTGGAAACGATTCCTTTAGTCAAAGAAATCTTTACGACAATCGGGGACATTTATCGCTATATGGAAGGGTCGCCTAAGAGTCACAAAAGATATGAAAACCATTTGAAAGCGAATGGCATTACCTCAGGCAAGACTGCTCTGCACTCATTTTCTGATACCAGATGGACTGCGCGCACTGATAACTTGGAAGTTATTGATGAATGTATATCCAGCACTTTTATCTATGTTCAAGGAAGAGTCTGAGCAGAACAACGACAGCGTTGCAACCGGATTACTTGTGCGTTTAATCCCCTTTCGATTTGTAGCTGCATGTCAAATCTTAGTGAAGTGCTTTTCTCTTAGCACACATGCCTCAGAATATTTGCAGAGAGAAGACATGGATCTAACATCAGGAGTTACTGCTATTCAGGATCTGAAAGCAACGATTGCATCTTTTCGCACTGATGAACAGTTCGACTTGTTTATAAAAGAAGCCAATTCATTTGCCGAAAAATGGGGCAGCGAAGTCCTTGATGTTAGTTTTAGTGATGCAAGTCCAACAGCCTCGCAAACCAAACGCCGCCGAAGACTCCCCACCCACCTTGCTGATGGCCAATCCATTTTAGATATGTCTACTCTGCAAAACAACCGACCAGATGGCGAATCAGCGTTAGATTGTTTTAAAAGAAAACTGTATTTTCCTTTCTTGGACAAGATACAAAGTGAGCTGAACAAACGCTTTTCTGAAACAGCGTGTGAAATGATTAGTCTTTCTGCAACCTTCCATCCACGAAACCTAACTGAAGAAAATGTCCCTAAAGTTGAGAAGATAGCTCAGTTCTATAAGCGTAGCAGTCATCGTGTTGGTCAACAATTCCTACTATTTTCAAAATCGAAGCAGTGTGATGATTGGAAGAATGCATATAAAAAACACCAAGTAAAGGAAAGAAAAGAGAAAGGCCTCAATGAAAATTCTCCAGTTACACCTTGGGTCTGTTTGCCCTCATTGCTCGATGTTTTCAGCGATGATGACCTACACCATCTTTATCCCGACTTGTTCGAAGTCATTAAGATCGTGGCTACCTTGCCAGTAACAGTGGCATCATGTGAGCGCACACATAGCAAAGTAAAAATTATAAACAATTATTTGCGAGCTCCCATGTCACCAGAGACTTGAGGATCTAGTCCAGATAAGCTGTGAACGAGATGTGGCAGCAAATATAGAACTCAGCAAATTAGTGGAAATATTTAAGCTGGCAAAGCCTCGAAAGCTTCCACTGTAGACATGGATACGACTATGCACTTAAACTCTGTTCTTTAAATTGTTTATGTAGATCATATCTTATTTACTTACATATAACGTAAATTCAATACAGTTTTAAAAGTTTTGTGAAAGATTTAACTCATTCTTAACTCTTTGTAGAAAGCTGGTCATCTTATTTTTAGGCTTAAGTGGCATAGGTTTTCAGAAAAAAAGACTTCCCAAAACGCAGGAAAACGCATTTAAGAGACTCTAGATTTCAAAATTTTCCGGGGGAGCATGCCCCCGGACCCCCCTAGTTTTCTCCAGCCTTCGGCGGTCGAAAAGTCCCCCCCACGCTTGGGCGGCTGGCGCCGCCCCTGTTATAATGAGATCTAATTTCGTAACGGTGGAAGACTTATATATAACAATATTTATTAACTAAACTTATACAACTTACAAGTACTGGAGTCAACTACAACAGTTCAACTACTTGAACAGTTCCAACTAACGTAATAACTACATGAAACAAAACTTTATACTGCTAGTGTTCATGTGATCATGACACGTGTTCATAAAACTTAAACATATAATATTAACATTGATAGAAATATAACTATTTACAAAAATTGAGTTTACTCTGCTAGGATACGTTTCAGAAATACTTTCATTTTTGATCCTGTGACTGGCTTCGTAAATACGTCAGCCAAATTATCATTCAATGGAACATACATTACTTTTAACAAATGTTTCTCAGTCTCAGATCTTACAAAATGATATTGTACATCTATATGTTTTGCATTACGAATCTAGATAGGACTTTCTCTATGTATTTAGTCTAACTCATCTTAATAGTGCCTTCTGTACAGTTAAATTCTATTCCTAAAAACCACAACAACACACCTAGGTCTTTCATTTGAAACTGTCTCCTAGATTTCTCTTCACCTGTGTTAAACTGTCTGTACTATTGGAAGCTACTAGAATATCGTCTACCCAAACTATTAGGATTGTAGTTGCACTACTTTCTACCTTAACATAAATGCAATTGTCAGATTCCGACTGAATAAAACCCTCACTTGTTAGATAAGAGGGTAACACACTATTCCAATTACGACTGCTTTGTTTCAAACCATACAACGATTTATGCAATTTTAGAACAAGGTTTTCGCCAATCATTGGTTCTTTAGTCATTGCTTGTGCTTGTTTTGGGGTATCGCTTACAATTTCAAATTTATCAGAAAAACGCAGAATGCGGCAACGTTTAATAGTTTCGGTTTGGGGAAAGTATACTAGATAAGCTGGACTTCCCTTATCGTACCCTACAAATATTCCTTGTTCCCCTCTCGTATCTAGTTTCTTCTTTTCCTGTTTGTATGCATAGCAAACGGTACAAAAAAAATGCATGTTCTGAATATTTGGCTTGTGCCGTGTGAAATTATGTTTAATACTACGTTCTTATTCTTGTGTTAGGAAGTGCCTTTTTAGGCTATGGGAATGAAAGTCTCTGATTTGCGTTCACTAAATTTTTAAATCCCATGCGGCATTTTTTCATCTTTCACTGCTTCCACTTTCAAATCCAAATTTCCTCTTTTTCTCGTAAAATGCCCTTAAATATTCTTAAAGTTTCCTTGGAGGCACCAAAATATTATGCGAAGTTTATATCAAACTACAGATACACGCCTGTATTCAAAAAGCTCACTCACACTCACACTCCTTGAGTGTGACATATAAATTTTGTTAATGCTGGTCAATGAGAAAGTTTTCTCTCAATAGATGGAAAGATATAACATAAATCGCTGTAAATTAAGCCTCTATTCGGCTCGAAATACGGCCATTGAAACGTTATGAGAAGATTAAGATCTCCCACTCAATGAGTGTGAGTGTGAGTGAGCTTTTAGAATACAGGCGACAATGTTTTAGGCCGTTTTACTGCTGTTTGGGCGATTTGAAACGTGAAATTTTTCTAATGACTAGCTATTTTTTCGAATGATTTATTTTGTGAATTTTTTATGCGGTAGTTTCTGGAGTACGCGGGTGGTGAACGCAAATCAGAGACTTCATTCCCACGGCCTTAGTGTGATACTACATAGAATTCCTCTTTTTTGTTTTTTAGATATTTTGTGCAAGGCTATATAAATTTATTTCATTAAATATTGATATTTTGAACACTCTGTGATTGAGTGTTCAAGACATTCTTGAGCATTGTTCTCAGGGTGGTTTACTGACTTGTGTTTGTAATAATTTGTTTTGGTGTAATAACTGCGCCTCGTTTTAATACATGTGTTGTTGTGTTTACTTTAAACACTCGTTTTTACAGTTCAAGTTTAGCCAGTTTTATAAAGGTTTATTTCATGTTTTGACACTGTGAATAGTGAATACTGTACATGCATTTCAGTAATTTAATATTTTGTTTATATTAGACGTTTGCATTTGTTGAAGCGCATTTGTTGAAGACAGCGTATTAAAGGTATAAGAAGTCTGCAGTGACTGTAAGTAGTGACTGTATCATTATTGAATAAGTATATACACTGTTCGCATGTTGTCAATATGAATATAAAATTGACAGAGGGTTTTAGGTTCACCCCTTTGGACAGATGTTCACAAGCATTCATGTGTAAAACTATAAATTTACCTTTAATATGTGAACTCCAGTCTGGGTTAAGAAAATGCCTTGAGCAGCCTTCTAAACTGTATAGTATAAATGGTGATGGGAATTGTCTGTTTCGTGCCTTTTCTTACATTGTAACAGGTAGGCAAATGTATCACAACATTATCTGCCATAAAATACTGCAGCATATGACCGATATTGAAAACCTATTAGTGCCACACATGAATATGTCTTTGAGTTCATATTTTGAACACAGTAACATGACAAATGATGGTGTATGGGGTAGTGACATTGAGATTTTTGCTGCTGCATCAATGTTTAGTACTGATATTTATGTTTATACTAAAACGGGTGAACGTTTTACGTGGCAAAAATTTTCGAGGTCAATGTTGGATGGTTCTTCCCCTAAGAATAAATGTGCAATTTATTTACAGCATACGAATGGGGTGCATTATGATGTTGTATTTGATGTGTGTTCTACCATGCGTGGGGCAACCCTAAAAAATGAATCTCGTTCTCAAATAAAAAGAAAGCATGTTTCTGTAGTTGAAGACTGTTCAACTTTATATGAACCTGTAACCAAGATACCACGATTAAGTATGAGTAAGCAGTCTGCCTTTGAGACCAGTAGCCATGATAATACTATTGACTGTGTGATAGATAAAAGTTCACAGAATTTAGCTACTTCATTCAACTTTAACCCTATTGACAAAACCACACAAGAACATCTATGTTCTTTAGTTAATTTGCCATTGATTTATAATATATCATATGGTGATGACAAACTAAATGGTCTTGAGACACCCCTTGACTTGCAACCAATACAAGGTGATGGAAATTGCCTGTTTCGTGCATTATCTTTTGTTATAACAGGTAGCAAACTGTATCACTACATTATCCGCCATAAAATAGTTCACCATATGACTAATATTGAAAATTTATTGGTGCCACACATGAATATGTCTATTAATTCATATTTTGAACACAGTAACATGACAAATGATGGTGTATGGGGTAGTGACATTGAGATTTTTGCTGCATCATCAATGCTTAGTACTGATATTTATGTTTATACTAAAACGGGTGAACGTTTTACATGGCAAAAATTTTCAAGGTCAATGTTGGATGGTTCTTCCCCTAAGAATAAATGTGCAATTTATTTAAAGCATACGAATAGGGTGCATTATGATGTTGTACTTGATGTGTGTTCTACCATGCATGACAGAGCCCCACAAAATGAATCTTGTTCTCAAAGAGAAAGTGAAGGCTCTTCAAAAGTCAAACATGATTGTATTTCACAAAATAAACCTTTTTGCAAAATAAAAACTTTAGAGAATAGAACCTGTAACAATAATGAAGTGTGCAATGGCAGTTATGGCACTGCTATGAACAAAAACACATATGGCACAATTATTA